TTAATTATTAATAAATTAATATTGTATACTTTTGTAATGAATTAATTATTAATTGACACTAATTAATAACAATTATTGATTATTAATATTAATTGATACTAATAAAAATTAATTATCAATATCAATTTATACTGATTAATAATTTTAGTATTAATTGAGACCAATTAAGCCATTAATTGATACTAATTAATAATTTTAATATTAATTGACACTAATTAAGAAATTAATTGATACTAATTAATTTATAATGGAAAAAAATTGTGACAATAATACTTCCATTACATTTTTATCAAATGTATCAATTTTTATATTAATTGATACTAATTAATACTAATTATATTAACTTTAATGAAATAATTTTTTTAAAATTAAAACTGAAAAAAATGACAAAATAATCATTTTTATATCATATAAGGCCAGAAAAGATAATTATACAGTAAAAAGTTATTTTACAACTTATTAACCAAACATTACTCTGCTGCTTAAATTCATAATCTCACAGCTGCACTAAACAAGTTAACAGCTTATGTTCACAGCTATAAGCTATAATCTGTTAAGTTATAATCTGTTAAGTTATAATCTATAATCACTTTTTAACAACTCTACCAAATGGGGCCATAGTTTTTTGTGGTGCGGAGGTTCCTTCAAATGAAAATGCTCATTATTTTTATATATAATTTTTTTTTTTAAGGATTGAAATAACTTTTAAAAATTTAAAACAATCTCTTTGATATTTATTTTTATCACGCTTATTTTTATTTTTAAATTTTGTTTAGAAAACTTAATCTAAAAATGACACTAAATAAATTAGTGAGAAATGTTTCCTTGTTTTTTGTTTTTGTTTTTTTCCTTAGGCCAATTAGTAAATAAATAGGCAAATTACCCAGAAGTCTTATTTGAAAAGTTTATTTAGTCCCATAACCTTTTGGATATTCTTAGAAGTCCACTAAGTATTTTTCTTCTTCGTTCTTCTCTGCGCATTTGTTCTTCTATGCCTCTTTCTCTTCTTGATTTTCGACGACTGACGATCACACCTTACTTCTCTTTCTCTTTCTAATATATAATCACTGGCGACTAATGACCACCATTGATTGGAGTTCATTGGCAACTATCGACTATCGACCACCGACTCCTTACTTCACCTTCACCGACGACGAAAGAGATGAGTTTCTAGTGAAAAAGATGAGTAGATCTACTAAAATCTGATGTAAATCTACTCAGATCTACATCAGATCCAACTAGATCTAAACAAAAAATAATTACTAGAGTACAACATGCTCTCTGTATTTGTTTATCTCCTTTGTTCTCTCAATTTTCCTACATTTGCTCTGCTACACATTTCTATTTTTTTGTTTTAATAAAGAAATTTTTTAAATTCTAAACAAGTTGTTTTCGAGTTTTAGTTACAGGCGGTAAAAACTACTAAATTTTACTATTTCAAATTTTTTTTTTTTGAAATGAATCATGCTTTAAAACTGCAAAAGTTTGCAGTTTTATAACATTCTTTAGAACAATAAAATTTTATGATTTCATAACATGTTTACTAGTTTGATTATTAAGGATAAATGCTTAATAAAATCATACTTTGAAACTGTAATGTTTTACTATTTTAAAACTTGTTTTTCAGTTTGATCAATATTGAAGATTATATGCTTAAACCCTACAAAAATTGAAGAAATATGTTTTTCCCCATTATTACTATTTATTGTCATTATGGTTTTTCTCTTTCTTTTTTTCTTTTTTTTTTATTCAATATTTAGTACATTTTGCTATATTTTTTTTACTCTAATTTCTTTATTTATTCTTTTTTGGGCAATATTCTGGACGTTTTGGTAAGTCTCCGACGATATTCTTGACGTCCAATTAACGTTCTGGACATTCCGACGACTTCCAGTGACATTCAGAATATTCCGGCAATACTCCGGTGAACTTCCAATGATACTCCGACGATTTCATGGTGATGTTAAACATTCCGATGAGTTTCTAGTGACTGTTTGACGGAAGTTCAGTAGTGATAGGATGTAGCAGCATTTTTAAATTTATTTAAAAAAAAGAATAATTTTTTGGTAATAATTAAAACTATATATGACTAATTGATACAAGTGTTCTGTTTTAGGAGTAGATAAATTTTAAATTTTATTGATTACTGACACTACAAGAAAAATGAGTTTTGGTGACATTCATTTAACGGCGTTTTATTAAACACCACAATTTGATAATATTTAACGGCGTTTTTCAAACGTCGTTTTTTTTAAAATCAAAACGACACCGTCTCAGTAACCAAAGGCGCTTGAAAACGACTTCGAATGTCTCTCTCTCTCCAATGGGCGAGCGGTGAATATCAAATATAAATACATTTTGTAGCCCTAACCTCTCACTTACTCATTAGTCTGTCTCGTTCTCTCTCACTCTCTCTCTAAACAGTCTCAACGGATCGATTCATCTCTCACGGATTGACTCATCTCTCGTTGTAGCCCTAATCGAAGTTCTCCCTCTCGAATTCGATTTCGATTTCAAAATCTATGTTTCGGTGATTCTCTCTCTCTCTCTCTCTCTCTCTCTCTCTCCCTCTCTCTCTATATATTCATCCTTTGTTCTCTGCGATATCGATCTGAAGCTCTGAAGCTCTAAAGCTCTAGGAGATTGCGAAGAGAGAAGAGGGGTTGGTTTCGATCGCAGAGGAAGTGATCTCAGGAGAGGCTGTGCTTCGATTTCTCAGATCGGTCTCAGAGCGATTGCGATTTTGAAATTCATCTCAGAGCGATTTCGATTTGAAGTTCTCTCTCTCGATTTCGAAGCTTCACCGCGAGGTATTGATTTCTCTCTCTCTCTCTCTCTCTGGATTTTTCCTTCATTCTAATGACAAGCTGAAAGTAGTTGGTCTCCTATGCTTGTGGAGTTGCACAGATAATCTACTCTCTGGGCTTGTATTTATTTTATTTTTCATTAAAATTAAGACTACTGCAAAATGTTTCTTGTGCTTTAGATTCTAGCATAACTGAGCGCTTATGTTTGTAGCCACAACACTATGAAAACAAGGTCTGTGCAATGCTAGCAAACCCAAATTTCTGTTTGATCCCAGATTTGACACCCCAAAGTAGACAAAAATGAAATGGAATGAAGTCAAGTATTTGATTTTAGTGTGCCCTCATTTTTCAGTATTTCATGTTTTGCGATGGTTGATAGTTAAGCTTGGCATACTTGTCGAAAATAAACTAAAAAATAGTTAATCTTGCCATCCAAATTTGGTTATGCTTGTGCTTGATTGGGTTGATAACATATTTTTTTCAGTTTAATGGGCTTTTTCACATTTAAATTGACATGCAAGGTTTTGCTCTTTGTTTCTACATTTGTGCCACTGTGTTGCAGGTATCAAGCATACAATTACAAGATGACCTTTTGTCAATGTTAGTTTCTGGGCATGAGACCACTGGTTCTGTGTTAACTTGGATAGCATATCTTCTGAGCAAGGTATTACATATAGTACCTTTTATCTTAATGAGTGTACCTTTTATCTTAATGATCTGTGTCTCCATTTTCTGTTGTTTACCATAGTAGATTCTATACTTCTTGAGGATTGGCTTGATGTTGATTCAAGGTCTAATAGTAGTGTGTCAAATGACAAAGAGGAAAGTGGTTTTATTTATTTGAACCGTTATATTGAAATTCATTTATCTTTGCTTGTGACACTACACATTTGGCTTCTTCCTGTTGGTATAAATTATTAACTGTAAACTTATTCTATTTCCTACTTTGACCATGAGCTGTAAAAAGTGCATGTAATGCTATACGTATGAAGAAAACTTGCAAAATGATCTGGCATGTCAGTAACTGCCTTCTTTTTAAAACACAGGTTGATGTGGGTGTCACATCAAGTGGTAAATTGAGTTTTTGTACAAATTTTAAGTGTAGCATTTTAATATAATGGAAGAACATTTTCCTTTGTATTTGTGTATGGTTCTTTTTGTAAACCCATTAAGTGGTTTTAACTGAGATTTTAGTGATATATTCATAACCGCATTTGGTAATGTACATTAGCTACCACTTAAAATTTCAAGCAGAGTGTAGCTGACTATGTTGAATAGTTGATAAGTTTAATCCATTGTGATTTTAAATTTTAACATAGAATGACAAACATCTTTAATTCTAAAAATTTTAGCTGCTCACAGTTTGCAATACTACTAATCTGCCCTATAATTTTATTTTGTGAAAGGGCTCCTAAATTTTCTACTTTCATTTGAAGAAAACCGTGACGAGTTATCTTACACAACATCAAGTCAACATTCACAAGGACCCATAATTAATATATATATATTCAGTGCTAAGAAATGTTGACAACAGATGATGTTGATAGCGCACTCAACTTAAGAAATGTTGAGGTAATTCCATTTCAAAAATATTCAATGCTATAGCTTTACACTGTGTTAATTCCTATGTTCTATTTATATTCCTATAGGATTGTGCTTAAATAGCCATGTTTGACCATAATTATCATTGCATGGTTGATAGGGAACAACCAGGATTCTTCAGTTTTGGCTTAATCTTCACAAGTAGAAACAAGAACGATTAAATTACAATCAATTTGCAATTTAAGTGATTATTTCTTATCGGAACGACTAAATTACAATCGAGGTGTCCTACCTTAATTTTGGTTGACCAACTTAGTTGACAATTCTAGTTGACCTTTGAATGGCTAAAATATATTTGCTTTTAGCTTGCCACTGCTCAATGCATGTGATGTGGAATATCTAGATGATGGCTCTGATTTGATTTAAAAAAAAAAGCTTTTATGTGGCAATGTTGAAATTTCCCTTTTCCTTATATTTTCTTTCATTATTTTTACTTTTTCTTTTCGTAAAAGTTTAGTGTTTCTACTTTTTCTTTTGATTTGATGCTTTGTGATATCGGTCAAGATCATGGTGGCCATGTGTTCTAATAATTGACTTTCTCATTCATTTTGTTTGTTAATCTTTGTAATCTATGAAAACAATGTTTCAATTAAAGGGATCTTCAAATGCAGCAATGCGTACACCAACCAAGTTTGTTTTCACCAACTTATTAGCAATGCTGGATTTTATGATATTGGTAAGGGTCATCTATTATTGGAAAATGGCTTGGATATATGTCAGCAATCTTGATGCCTCATCTGTTCTTTATTTATTGTTTAAAATATATGATCTGTCAATTTGTTTATTTTCTAATGTTGTCACACTACTCACGTTATTGATTTCCTTGACCTATGTTGTTAGGTTGAGTCACATAGGAAGGCTGCTGCTGCAACTGCCTCTGGTAAATTTAAAGAGGAAATAATCCCCGTGGATACCTAGGTACAACATTTTTATTGCAGTTTCAGTAAGATTGTGATACCAAATTTCAACTGCTCATTCACTGTTTCCAAGTTTGTGTATGGTACAAATTTGTGCTCTGATATGTATATACTTTCTTTAAAAAGATTGTTGATCCAAAAACTGGAGATGAGAAACCCATAACGATCTCAATTGATGATGGAATTTGGCCAAACGCAACGATATCAGACTTGGCAAAACTAAAGCCTACATTTAAGAAAGATGGGACAACCACTGCTGGTATTATTGTTTATTTATTTAGTCTCTAATTATTTTTTCTTTTGCATGCACTAGCCTGTGATTCTTGATTATCTTGCTAGCAAGACGATTTGCTCTAATGATATGGTCGTGGTCTCACCTGATGTTGGAGGGGTGGCCAGAGCACGTGCTTTTGCAAAAAAATTATCTGATGCGCCTTTAGCCATTGTGGATAAAAGACGGTATGGGCACAATCTTGCTGAGGTACTAGATTTTACAATGATTTTTTTCTGTCTTGCTTTCTCTAGGATCCTTTTTTAAGGGTTTGGGTGACTTGCTTACTTATATAATTGTATTCCATTAAATAATTTTGTTTGGGATTTGTCTCAAGGTATCCTTAGATATTGTTGCTAGATAGATCATAGAGAGGGTCTTCCAATACCCTCTAGTATATATAAGTACACATTACACAGGCGCAGGCATGATATTAGATGTTAGATACTAAAGGTATATCTATCTATCTATGAGATGTAATCCGTATGCAAGAAAAATATGAGTTGTCTAATTGTGAGCCATCTTAGGAGTGTTTATGTCAGCCTTCTGCAGTTCTTTACCCTGAACAGTATGCTTGAAACTGGGGCTTTGGAGCTGGCTGATGTCAGGAACCATTGAAAGAAGCTCAATGTCCTGTTAAACTCAAACATTTTTTAGCTGGGTTTTGTACTTCAAAATGTTTTATACTAGTTAACAAGAAATTGGAATTATGTACGATCATTTGTGTTGGAAAGCATTTTATGCTATGTAAACTGATTATTATTTTAGTACAATCACTTGCTAATGAGTTACATCATTGATGTTGGACTACTTTTTTTTGTGTCAAAACCATAATGATCCTGTTGTAAGATAGACCATGATTTGATTGAACAGTTGTGCTTTGTCCTTTTTAAAGTGCAGGTATTTGATCGATTATTACAGTTAAGAGTTGTGATATCAATGGAAAGAATTGTTGCAGCTCATTGTTTGTTATTCTTTTTCATGAAATTTTCTTAATGTCCATTATTTTAAATGCTATTGTTCAGGTGATGAATCTCATTAGTGATGTTAAAGGAAAAGTTGCAGTAATGGTGGATGACATGATTGACACTGCTGGTGAGTTAAGTCATCTAGATGTAAAAAAATCTAGCTTATAGGCCATTAATTAGGAAGTGATTTCAAAAAGTGAAAATTCAAAGAAAAAGAAACTTAGTTTATCACGCTATTTTCATGGCGAGTTATTAATTTCAATTTCCAAGTGTTATCCATCATGAGCAAATATCCTACCACTTTATGCTCCAAAATTTCTAGACTACATTTGCATTTAAGGCTGGTTAATACTAATTGTCCATCCTTGGTTCCCTCTCTCACGTTTTTCATTCATATCTTATGTTATTTTATTTTTAAGAACAACCTATCTTTGGTTTAGTGTAATATGTTTGTATATATACAGCCATAAGAATATCACATATTATGAAAACAACTTTTTGTAAGGGCATGATCGTTTGTTATCATGTCTAGTTGTTATGCATCTTGCTCTCCACTTTGCTTTAAATTTTGGGTCTCAAATATGATCATGTCCTTCGGATTGGACTTGAGCTTACATTACAGTCTAGGCAATGTGAGGTACTTTCTATATTTTGTTGTTTCCAATAAATAACCGAGTGTTATTCTGCTTCCTCAGGAGGTTTGAAAAAAAGCACAAAGGTGTTTTTTTTTTTTTAGATTGTAAATACAGTCTTCGACTTATTGTAGTTAACTAGTACATGGCTGCTGGGTTGTAGGTACTATTGCAAAAGGTGCAGCTCTGTTACATGAGGAGGGGGCCAGGGAAGTCCATGCTTGCAGCACTCATGCTGTTTTTAGGTAATGGCTTCATCTATGGTGTTTGATCTTTGCTTTGATCTCTCTAAATGCATGCCCAAAAATTTCTGTGTTTTTCCAGATTTGATCATTATACATTTTGATCGAAGTTCCGTTTCTTCATTACTTTGGAGAAAGGGGAAATTAAGAGGTGTTGGGTTGTGACTTTTGAGGTGCCATTTCCTGATTTTCATGTGAATGGGGGCAGGATGCCAGGATTTTTATTTTATTTTTATATAATTTTTCTACTTATTAAGAAGTTTCTGGTTTTAGTGAATGGTACATAGATGGGGAACTATCTATATCATCTAGTTCAATGTTTTATTAGGGATCTCTTAAGGCTGTGCTTGGATCATAGATTTGGGTAGCAATTTGGAAAGGGAAAAGAAAAAAGTATGTGAAATGTAACTATATTTCATTCACATTTCACCTATCTTTTCTTTTTTTCTTTTTAAATCCCTACTTAAATCCGTAAACCAAACACTGCCTAAGTAAAACAAGTTAGGTTTCTTTTTCTTTTTTTGATTATAAGGGGGCCGAAGCCAAACCTACAAACTGACACTACGAGGGAAACTCCCTCCTTGCTTGTCATTAGCTAGGGCCAACTCCAGAGAAGGAGGGGCTGTCAACACAGTTTCATCCCCAACATCCATACATATAGCTGCTTTGGCTAGCACGTCTGCACAACGATTAGCTTCCCTCCAAAGAATTTAGGTTTCTTGTTTTGCATCATAATGTATACTATCAAGTCCCTAATAATTTGTCATTCCATTATCTACAACACTTTGTTGCTCAAACTGTCAGGACAGTCACCAAAGATCATCGTCAAAAGTATATATCAACACACTATACTACATCCAGAATGGTAGGTGGTGTCATAAAGTTATGAGCATTTTGTCTGTTCATAATTTATTGTTAGTTCTATTTAGTTGTTAACATGTTGGCTTCACCTTCATTAATCTATCAATTATTCAATGCCGTCAATTTACTTTCTTGAAGTCCTAAACATTGGGTGTTCTACCTGGAGCTACTATTCTAGGTAATTGTTGCTTCTGGAGCTGTGAAGCATGAGAACCTTGTTGAGCAAGTGAAGAAGTTCTTTACCAAATTGTCATCGGATCCAACCACAACTTCTGAATTAGTTGCCAAGGGCCAGCAATTTTTTCAGGATTTTTTGTGTTAAAATCCTTTGGTTTTTTATTTCTCTTATTTTTTCTTTTTTTCCTTGGATCTGAGAGTGGGTGTTTTGGTTCACTTCTTATTTTTTGTATTAAATGGGGGAGTGGTGAGAGAGAGAGAGGAGGGTAATGTTATTTTGTGGGAAAATTAATGCTACATTTGTTATTTTGTGGGAAAATTAATGCTATATTAAATTGAATGGGAAAGTGAATTAATGTTATATTTGTTATTTGAATGGGAGTTATTATTTCATATTAATGTTATTTAGTTTTATTATTGGTGTTCTTTTAGTTCAATCACATAAAATTAGCACAATTTCAAAACCAAAAAAAAAAGAAAGATAAGACGGCGTTTTTAAAATGCCACTATAGTGGGTGGAATTTTTAAAATTAAAAAAACCTATGAAGGCGTTTTAAAAACGTCGCTAAAATCATAGTGACGTCACAGTATTGTTAGGGTAGGACATTTGGCGGCGTTTTTAAAAACGCCGCCTATACTAATACAGCGACGTTTTCCAAACGCCATAAAGTTATAGCGACAGCCGCATCGTCGGCATTTGGTACTAAACGTCACAAAAATAATTAACAATGTTTTTGGTACCTATAGCGGCTTTTTTTAAATGCCGCTAAAAGCCTACTTTCCAGCAGTGTGATAAGTGTCCCATAATATTAGCCCAAGTGGCCCAAATTATGAATTGGCCCATATTAATGAATTGATGATTGAATGATGATAAGGATACGAAAGAGTTCAAAGACTTAATTTTCACTTGACATGGAACTCTTCACTTTTTCAAATTATATGGGCCCCGATTTTCTCCAGCATTATCAGTTTAAATGGATTATTTTTTTTTTTGAAGAATTATCACTTGAAAAATGATTTTGTGAATTTTTCTTAAAATTGAAATTTTTGGGTAAAATTAATTGAAATTGGTGTCAATCTCTCACTTGGATAACTATATACTTCTCTGCCAAAAGATTATCTAATCTTAATCATGATTTTATTTATTTGAATCATGATTTGCAATTTGTTATTATGATTGGTATTCATGCATTTCACTTAAGAATTTTAAAATAATAAATAAAAAAGATAATGAGTAGAAGGAGCCATTAACCATTTTGAGTTTTTTTTTTTATTCACAAATTTGAAATGTAGATTGCTTTTAAATTTAATTCCCAGAATGGGTCAAAATGTATTTGTAAAATATGTTTTCATGAAAAAAATTATGATTTTAGTTTTTTTTTATTAATTATTTAAAAAAAAAACAAATGTTGAAAACAAAGTTGGAGTACATGAAAGGTAAAAATGGCCATTTAAAGAAAGTTACAAAAGTATAAAAACAAAGATTTTATTAACATGAATATCCATACATAAAACACAAATGTAAAAATGAATGTGCGATCAATTACAATATCATATCATTGTGTCTCTGTCGATGCTTCAAGAGATCCAATAGTTTCATCAACAGTTGTTCCATCAATACCTTGCCTAATCCAATCCGTGTCCTCCTCACAAGTAAAGGAAGTTGCATCCAACTCTTGATCACCAGATCCTTCCACTTCGTTGTGATATAGTCCTTCATCAATAGTTGGTTGTTCTTCACACATCTCATACAAGTCTCTCGATTTCAACTTGAGTATAACATTCCAATGTTCTTCAACGAAATCATTAATGTCATCTCATTAAAGAAGATGTTTTAGATAACATTAAAGAAGATGTTTTAGATAACATAAACAATCTTTGAAGTCTTGGAATCAAAAGAAAGTATCTGACAATCTTGTGTAGAATTTTTTGTTGCTTCTTATTAACATCATTCTTCTCCCATCAAACTCTTTGTATCTAGGCATATAACACAATATGCAATTATCCATACTAGCTGTTTCCTTCCAATATAGTGGGCAATCTCTTGGGCATGCAAGTACCTTATGATAATCGAGGCCCAAGTCCTTAAGGAGTTTCCTAGTTGCATAAAATGGCTTGGGAAAGTTTCACCATTTGGGAACTCATCCTTCAAAATCTCAAGCAATATCGTGAAAAACTTGTCACTTCATCTAGTAAGGCACTTGATATGCAATAACAGAACAACAAATGTGGGTGTTGAAAACTTCTAACACTTGGGATACAACTCTTTTTTGGCCTCTTTCAATAAATTGAAGAATTTTTCGGCTTTTTCATCCATACCTTGCTTAATTCCAAAACTTGTTGCTTTGTGAATAAAGCTTGATGGAGAAAGTCCAAATCCCTTGTATAGCATTTCATTCGTTTCATCACCATCATTCGAATAAGTTTGCTCGACATTCACATTGTGTGGCACAAGCGATGACAAATTCTCCTCATGAAAAAGCCAACTAGTGTAACTTTGAAGAAACCCGTTAATCATTAAATGTTCACCTAACAGGCCTTTCTCCACTAATTTGACATTACAATACCATTTACATGGGCATGTGACTTCATTCAACAATGGCTTATTTTCACATACAAATTTAATAAATTCCTCAACCCCTTCTATGTATTTCAGGTGAAACTGTAAAACCCAAGTTGTGTGTAGGATTATTTTATTGGATAGATTCCGTCTTATACTACAAATGTCACTGCCAAATCAATAAAGTTCAAAATTACCATTTTATTTTAATTAATATTAACCTAAATTAAGTACCTTATAATCCATGCGACATGACAACATTCACCTCTAACTGGTCTTTCATATGCTGGTTCATTCTACTTTCCCATTCAGGAATGCATAGTCTATATTGTAAAAAGTAGCTCATACCGCTCTGTTAATCTCTAATGAAATTTTGGTAGCATCTCCCTATGGTTCACCATGTACACGACTGTAGACGTCCCCCGAATGCCCCGGGGAGGAACGGGTCCCCGCCGTTCTGTTCGATATTGGGCTCACTACAGTTCAGGACTCTAAAATTGTCACGGTTCTAAATCTGAACCAAAAAGTCCAAATCTGGCAAATCGTTTTGAGAAAATTTTTGGGACACCCATTGGTTAAGGTAAAATTTGTCTTTACTGTTAATTATTAAGTTTATGTTGAGGAATTTAACAATCAATGCATTAAGGGGATTTGGAAGATCTATAAGTGTTTACTTAGGTTTTGAGAATTGGGTGCAATGTGTAAGTGTAACTTTGGATGGGTAATAGAAACAATGGAGTTTTGTATCATGGGTAAAGGTGTGTTTGGCTATAAAGTTGGGTTGAATGGTTTGATCTCTTGGATATTAAAGTAATACATTAATCTAATATAGTGGTGCTTTTGTGGGTGTTTGTAACATGTAAAAAATATTAATTTATTTGAGGTTTTATTTATTAGGTTTGTGTGATTGAAGTGGTGAAATTGGGTGTTTGGAGTTGGTGTTGGAGTGTTATTTCTAAGCGTTTGAGGTAAGTAACCCTCTATCACTGTTGGTTCATTTTTATTCCTATCGAATCGTTTAAAATCATAAATATTTATTTATATCCTTCATGTTCTCTTAAAATAAAATATGGGTCAAGTATAAAACAACATCGAATATTATTATGAAAATTATTTGAATATTTGATGAAACTATTTTGAAAATTGTACTAAACATTTATTCTGAAAATATCGAATGTTTTATTTGAAAGTTGTGTATTGTTTGAATTTTGAACATCACTCTAGTCTGACTATGATTTGGACCCTAGCCAATGGGGGTTATTTATTGGCACAGAAACTAGTTTCTTTTGGGGCTTTACCACCGGCCTACGTGTGGTTCTGGGCCTTGTCACGGGCTAAGTGACCGTAGTCATTAAGACTTGGGTTTTGTGAATTGCATCATTGAACCATTTGAATATCGAACCATCAATTTTGAACAACGAAATTTCATCGAATTACCTCATTGTCTTTTCAATTAAAATGTATTGCTACACTGTTTATTTTCAACTACGAAACCATCTTACAAAATAATTGTTCATTTATTGAATGGTAGCAAAAAATATATTTATTGGTTATCGACTATTTTTTTTGTATACTTGATCCAGCTAATAGTGATGGTTGTTTATTTACTGGGCTGTCTAGCTTACCCTTATTTTATTTTTCAGATTCTGAGGAGTAGAGCTGTGCAGGGTTTTTACTTGTGGGAGTGCCGAGAGTAGGACTATGATTTAAG